CGGTCCTTACCCCAAGCAATACAGCCCATGCCTCCCTGTTCAGCCCCCACTTGCTGGTGAGGGATGTGAGTGTCTGGGCTACTTCTCCACTGGGAGTTGCAGTTAGGCACATAATCTATGGGTTTTATTTATTTATTTTTCCTCCCAGTTATGTTGCCTTCTGAGATTCTGAAACACCACACAGACCTGCCCGTGAGTGGGTTTCCTGGTGTTTGGAAACTTCTCCTCTTTTAAGACTCCCTCCCTGGATCGGGTCTCCATCCCTAACTCTTTTGTCTCTCTTTTTATCCTTTATATTTTTTCCACCTCCTTTTGAAGACAATGGGCTGTCTTTCTGGGTGCCTGGTGTCCTCTGCCAGCATTCAGAAGTTGCTTTGTGGAATTTGTTCAGTGTTCAAATGATCTTTCGATGAATTTGTGGGGGAGAAAATGGTCTCCCTCTCCCATTCCTCCACTGTCTTCACACTCCTCTCATTGTGGTTTTGATTTGCATTTCTCTGATAATAAATGATGTTGAGCATCTTTTCATGTGTTTATTAGCCATCTATACGTCTTCTTAGGTGAAATGTCTGTTTAGTTCTTTGGCCCATTTTCTGATTGGGTCATTTATTTTTCTGGTATTGAGCTGCTTGTATATTTTTGAGATCAATTCTTTGTCAATTTTTTCATTTTCTACTATTTTCTTCCATTCTGAAGGCTGCCTTTTCACCTTACTTACACTTTCCTTAGTGGTGCAAAAGCTTTTAAGTTTAATTAGGCCCCATTTGTTTATTTTTGTTTTTATTTCCATTATTCTTGGAGGTGGATCATAGAGGATCTTGCTGTGATTTATGTCTGAGTGTTCTGCCTATGTTTTCCTCTAGGAGTTTTATAGTTTCTGGTATTACATTTAGATCTTTAATCCATTTTGCATTTATTTTTGTGTATGGTGTTAGAAAGTGCTCTAGTTTCCTTCTTTTACAGATGGCCATCCAGTTTTCCAAGCAACACTTGTTAAAGAGATTGTTTTTTCTCCATTGTATATTTTTGCCTCCTTTGTCAAAGAAAGATCAAAGCCCTGGTCCATATGAAACCTTGAGTGCTTCCTACAGCCATCTTGGAGAATAATTGACATAATTTAGTGGAAATACAAGGAAGATTTTAATAAGAAAAATTAGCTACATCTTGTTTTGTGAAATTCAATAACTGATGTTTATCAATACTTCCACTCAAACCATTAACTTAGGAATATCTTAAAAGGCCACATAAATCACTGCCTATAATCTAGAAAGTGTTTAATAGGCTTGCAAATCGCAGCTCCAAGAAGAAAATGTCTGTAATATTAAATTATCTTAAAGCTATTTATGTTTTAAAACATTGCCTAAATACATAAGGAAGAGGAATAGTTTCAGGAGAAATTAGAGGTCTGCATACCAAAAGATGCTTCCTGACTTTTGCAAATATGAATTGTTTTTAAAATGCTTCTTGTGAACAGTGAGTGTAGTTCAGATAGACTTGTGCCTTCAAAGGAGACACTGTGATAATGAAGATAGATATCTCCTGTATTCAAAAAGACTTCCTGACCAGTACTTTACTAATACTGTTGTTCTGACAATAAATACTAAGAAAATATAATGTTTAGAATTAGTCAAATGTATTATGGCAGGAACAAGTGGAATTATAATGCTTACTTATAACTTAGATTACCGTAGAATGCCTTTAAATAAATAAGTTAGCTTGAATCATTTGCAGACCATTCACTTGATATTAAATGATCTGAAAAGGAAGCCCTTTTATTAGGGCAAATAAGTTCTAAATTGAGTTGATATAACTGGTGCAGTAAACATATCCATAGATTGAATATGGTTAATACAACTTTATCCTCTCAATTGTAAAAGGAATGCCCATGGAATTAACTAATTTTAATATATTTTATGCAGCTTTTTGAGCAAATGATGTTAAAGTTCCTGCTATTCTCTTTGAGACAGGTTCTCCAGTTGCAGAGGATGCTCATAGCTTATTTTCAAGCTATTTGGCAAGAAAGCTGGCTAATAATTTTTAATCATGTTTTTTATTTATATCAAATATAATTTACATATAATAAAATTCACCTTTTCACACATTTAGTTTTGACATTGGACACAATTGCATAAGCATGATCACAATTTGTTATTCATCTGGTGATGAAAATTTGTGTTACATCTAGTTTGGGGCTATTATGGATAAAGCTGCTATGAATATTCATGTATGCCTTTTTGTAGACATGCATTTTCATGTCCCTTGGGTAAATACTTAAGAGTAAGATTGCTGAGTCAGATGGTAAGAAAGGCTATGTTTAAGAAACTGCAAGACATTTCCCAAAGTGGCTGTATGGCTTTACCCTCCCACCAACAAAATATGAGACTTTTAATTGCTCCACATTCTTCTCATAAGCACTTGCTATTGTCAGTCTCTTTAACCTAATCTATTTAGTATGTTCATAGGAATACCAGACCACCTTACCTGCCTCCTGAGAAACCTGTATGCAGGTAAAGATGCAATAGTTTATATAACAGAAAGTGGAACAATGGACTGGTTCAAAATTAGGAAAGCAGTATGTCAAGTATATAATTATCACTCTGCTTATTTAACTCATATGCAGACTATATCATGCAAAATACAGGGCTGGATGAAGCACAACTGGAGTCAAGATTGCCAGGAGAAATAGTAATACCCTCACATGTGCAGATGACACCACCCTAATGGCAGAAAGTAAAGAGGAACTAAAGAGCCTCTTGATGAAGGTGAAAGAGGAGAGTGAAAAAGCTGGCTTAAAACTCAACACTCAAAAAACTAAGATTATGGCACCTGGTCCCATCACCTCATGGCAAATAGATGGGGAAACAAGGGAAAGAGTAACAGACTATTTTCTTGTGCTTGAAAATCACTTACAATGGTGACTAAAGCCATGAAAATAAAAGAAGCTTGTTCCTTAGAAGAAAAGTTATAAGAATCCTAGACAGGGTATTAAAAAGCAGAGGCATCACTTTGCCAATGAAGGTCCATCTAGTCAAAGCTATAGTTTTTTCAGTAGTCATGGATGGATGTGATAGTTGTACCATAAAGAAGAATGCTGAAGAATTCATGCTTTTGAACTGTGATGCTGGAGAAGACTCTTGAGAGTCCCTTGGAGAGCAAGGAGATCAAACCAGTCAATCCTAAAGGAAATCAATCCTGAATATTCATTGGAAGGACTGATGCTGAAGCTGAAGCTCCAATACTTTGGCCTGATGCTGGGAGATCATAATGCTGGGCAAGATTGAAGGCAAGAGGTAAAGGGGATGACAGAGGATGAGATAGTTGGATAGCATCCCTGACTCAAAGGATATGATTTTGAGCAAACTCCAGGAGATGATGAAAGGCAGGGAAGCCTGGCATGCTGCAGTCCATGGAGTCACAACAAGTCAGACAAGACTGAGTGACTGAACATCAACAGTATATTGGTGGTGGCATCTCTTTGTGATTTTAATTTACATTTCCTTTATGACAAACAATATCAAGCAATTTCAAGTGTTTATTGGTCACTCTCATATCTTCTTTGATAAATTGTATGTTCAAATATTTCATCTGTTTTTTATTCTATTGGTGGGCCTATATTTGTACTATAAGAGCTCTTTATGCATCCATTTGCTCTTTATGCATCCATTTGCTCTTTATGCAAATCATTTATCGTATATGTGATTTATAACTTTTTTCTCCTAATATGTAGCTTGTATCTTCATTTTCTTAACAGTGTTTTTTGAAAAGCAATGTTGTGGGTTTTCTCTTTTTTAAATGAATTCTTTTAAGTTTCATGATTTTTGTGTCTTATTGAAAATTTTTTGCCTAACCCAAGGACATAGAGTTTTTCCTCAGTTTTCCTCTAGAAGTTTTATAGCTTTTGGTTTTACATTTATGTCTGTGATCTAATTCTTATTAAATTTTGTATATTGTGTGAGTTAAGGTTTGATAATCTTTTTTGGAGGAGGTATGGATTTACAAGTTTTGAACCACTCTTGAAATGTTGAAAGACTATTCTTTGTGCATTGAATTACCTCAGCAGCATCATCAAAAGTCAACCAAATGTGTATGTGTGTGTACATATATATACATATATGATGCAATATATAATATATATTTCTGAACTCTCTATTATGTCCATTGATCTATATGTCCACACTTTCACCAGTGTCACACATTCTTAACTTCTGTAGCTTAAATAGTAAATCTATAGGTAGCAATTCCATGGCCATTATCTTATTTGACCCTTATAACCCTCAAGTTAGAATTACCAAAGATTACTAGTGTTATAGCCATTTTATTGACGAGTATATACAATCACAGGTTAATTGTCCTGCACAAGTTTACACAATTATCAGTAGATCTGGCATTAAAATCCTCCCAAACCTAGTTTATTGTTATTTTACTACACAACTAGGAAAAATAGTGAAGAGAGACTGAGTTTCAAATCATTGTAAATTTGGAGATATTTTCTGAATAACAGACTCTTACATGGGGGGGGCTCAGCAAACTATTTGATAGTCTAATGAAATTTTCCGTCCCTCTTTGTTGCAAAATAATAATCTTTTTAGTTCTCAGTGCTTGACTTTGTGAATGATATGTTCAGCATTACTGCATCTGCTATTGCTCTTTACTTGGGGTAAATCTGACTCTGTATATTCTTAATCCTAATCTGAATGCTAATTATGTTTAATGTAGGATCTCTTTCCAAGAAGGGAAATGTTTCTTGATTTTTCTCTTACAGGAATTTATTTGATTGGATTTCTGACCTTGCAGATTATTTTCTGTTGGTGATTTGCTTAAAAGGCAGTCTTTGAGTAATAGGATAATTTACTTCTGTGCTTTAGAATCCTTTATGCTAAAATTTTATCTTTTTATCATCCCTCTAATTTGATTTCTTTTTAAAAGTGTTATGGTGCATCAAACATGTGTAATCTTAGGTTTGCACAGAGTAATTTATTATTTGATGCTTTCTCCTTCAGAATGAAGAAGTCAGATTCATTGAAAATGAGTTAGAGATTCAGAAGCAAAAGAATTTTAAACTTCAGACATTTGTAAGAAGCTTGATACTAGCTATAAAAGCTGACAATAAGGAACAACAACAGGTAAGCAACAGAAAAGAATAGAGAATTGTAATATATAATGTTGAAAAGTGGCAAGTCACACTTGGATTCTTCATATTTTTTTTTTTCATTTTTATACCTCATTCCTGCTTGTCATCAAGGAAGGATTTGTTACCTCCTGACTTGTTAGTATAGCTTTCTTGGGAATAAATACTCAGATTTTGTGTGCTGCTTTAGTGGAAAATCAAAATGATTAACATACTTTGTTAATTCCAAGCCAGTATTAAGTAGGGAAACAGTTTAAATTTTTAAAATATAATAATTGGCTCTATTCACTATCTTGTACATATTATTTCATTTAATTAATTTTAAAGAAATTCTCAAAACAGTTGTAAAGATGGGGTTACACTAACTGGAGAGGCACATATTTTGGGACCTTCTATGAATGAAAGAAGTGAGGCATTTGCCTCTCTTCTGGATTCCAGTTAGCCTTCCAACCCCTACTAAAGTTCACAGGTGTTTGAATACCTTCTATCCCATGATATGTTGCACATCACTAAAAATAATTGAAATTACTTTGTGAAATTCTTTGTAACCACAGTGCAGCATTTACTTTTCCCAATTTAACTATAGTGTTTGATTCCACTACCCCAAAGATGAAGTGAAATGTCTTGTTTGTCACTGTGGATTTTTTTTTTTTTGAAAATTCTTCCCAAATTACATTTTCTGCCTCACTTTTTCTGTTAAAATTTGTGTAATAATTTATTAACCTTGCTAAAAAAGAATAGGTCGTGTCAGTCATGTCTGACTCTTTGCAACCCCATAAACTGTAGCTTGCCAGGCTTCTCTCTCCTTGGGATTTCCCAGGCAAGAATATTGGAATGGGGTACCATTTCCTACTCCAAGGGATTTTCCCAACCCAGGGATCAAACCAGGGTCTTCTGCATTGCAGGCAGATTCTTTACCATCTGAGCCACCAGGATAGCCTAAAAAAAAAAAAAAAGAATATAAAATTATGTTAAATGTTATATTTAATACTAAATGTGTTATATTTAATACTAAATGATATCAAATATGCCTCTGAGTTGTGCACTACCATGTTGATTACTGATTATCAGAGAAATTCAATGTAAGTAGTATATTACACAGGTAAGCCTTAGTTAGGAAGCAATCTCAGTGGTTTTTATTCAGCTAGAGTACAAGCATTTATTCCTTATATCCAAGTAAGATGTATGTAGCCTATTCCAGTCATCTCCAAGAAAAAAGATTAGTCTTAGCATCCCACAATTCTCCTGTTTTTAATAAGGAAAACATCTTTATATAGTTCATCAAAGTACTGAACCACAAAAATTAAGCTGTAATTTACTCATGAGGCTTAGTCCAGCATGTATATTATGTGTCCAGTTTCATGAATTGTGCTTCCCCCATGCTGTACATATGCAGACATCCCAGGATGGTAGTTACCAGTCATTTTTGCCAGTTTTATTTAAACATTTTGGTTTATTATGTGAGCTAAGCATATTCCATGGCATATTGAAAATGTATTTGTTTTTTAGGAACCTAAAATAAAGATTTTAAATGAATAAGATGATAGTCTTGAACATGGTCCCCAAAGAACTGTAATTTCTAATTACATTAATATTTAAAAAAGCAAAAGTAGAATTAGGTTCAATATGGGAGTAATTTGGAGTGTGGTCCTAGCCCCAAAAGTCATGCATGGTTTTTATTTCAGAGTTATGGGGTCAGCTTATTCACAATTGTCTATGACTTTTTATATCTAGGGATAGCACACAAGCTGCATTTTATTTTCTAATTCTAACCTGGCTTTATTCTTCCCCAAAAACCACTAAAAAAATAAGAAAATTACCTATTGTACATTTTACTTTTGCCATTTTCCTCTACTTTTCCTCTGAAAAAAAAGGCTGATGAACTAAGATATGCAGAAAACATTGGCTGAAGGGAGGAAAGAGATAGTTATACAAAAATTGTACTGAATATCATAGCCTGTATAATCAGCATCCAGGTAGAAAATACTGATTTTGTAGTTGAGATTGAGTATTTGGATCTCCAAATATGGTCTAAAAATACAGAAGATATCAACACAAAAGTTACCCAAGTCATCTCTTAAATTGCTGATCTTAACTCTATGAAATGCTTAAAGGTTTATTTCTGGAAGGGCTTGATTTTTATTCTGCCCAATAAAAGAGAATCATTGTGTCATTAGTTTCTCAGTTAAAAATCCTGTTTTTCTGTTAATCTTGATTTGGGTAAATTGAATGAGATGAGTGGTCCACAGACTATTTTGCCCCCATGAAGCAGTCCAGGATTTGAAAATATATGATAATGTCTGACTGAATATTAGCTTATCCAAACCAATAGCCATTTTAAAATAAAAAATAATGTTGTCAGCACTGTACTAAGTCATTAGTTATGATCTTTCTTCCCGTGATAATTCACTATGTGATTCTATTCTATTGGGAAATGCTATAATCTTTTGGGAAGAGTGGCAGTAGGTCACACTCTGACTGGTAGAGAACCTGGAGTGAAGCAAGTTCATTGTGTTCACTTTAGTCTATGAAAAAGACAGTTCTAGCAACTGACAGAATCTGAAGATTTGTTCAGGGTGCCAGTGTTGCAATCCAGAAAGATATCGAAAAGAAATATTTTTAAATGCACCTCATGCATTAGTAGTGCCTCATTCTGCCCCAGATATTAAAATTTCCCTATTTCATACTGTACTGATTTTAGACAGGCAACTACATTAAACGCAATGACAAAGAAATACATAGTAGTGCTTCTTTGACTTGAAGTTCTCCCCACTAGAATTTAAATGCTGTTAAGTCTGCTCACCTCCATGACTCTCCAGTACTCTAAGCTTTGTTCATTGGAACACTTTGCCCTCTTTAATATGGCTTCTTTGCACTTGCAAAGTGAAATAAATCCAGTGATATATTTCTCATAAACCATGATCAACCATTGTCAGCAAAGACTTTGTTGTACTATACTGGGTTAGTGGTAAACAACTGACCTAGAAGAAAATGGTTCTGTGCCCTATTACTGCAACCTAGAAACCTTAGAAAGCATGTAGTACCTTTAGGTGACTGCTTTGTAAACAGTACTCTCAGTTTCACCAAGAAGTTCATGAACCATTTAATAGCAGAAAATAAATAAATTTTTGTACAGACTGGAGTTAACCTTTCCTTTTGAAGCCTGACAGAAAGTTCTAATCTTTCCTCTTTGCTCTAAAACAAACAACAACAACAACAACAACAAAAAAACACTATAGGATTTATAACTGTAACTTCTTTTAATAAAGAGAATAGGAGAGTATTGTCTTATTTCAACAGTGGATTTCATGTGTTCATGCCCTGTCTTTCTGTTCATTATTTGGGTAGAGGCAAGCCTGCAATTGATCTTTTTTTTAAACTATTGCACCCAAAGCTAACATTGCAACTAATGTTGTCTAAAAATTGCCGAGATAATGTTACATTATTTTAGTATGGGGTGCAGCAAATCATTCATTTAGTTTGCTATTTCTGATGGTCAAATGGGCAATAGCACTACCAGCCAGATAAAAGCTGATTAATTATTTATTTCTTTAGTATGAATGTCTGCAACTACAGATGGAACAATTACACCATGGCAAAACTTAGTTCATGGCTCTTGCCTTATCCTAATTACTGCAGAAGAGAGATGAGCAGTCCTCTAGAAACATCATTACACAGCCAAAATCACTGGTTCAGCAGAGCCTTTGTGAATGCTTGGCCATCTGTATATATGACCATAGCCTAAGGAAAGAAAAAAAAAAGTCACTTGGACCTTTAAAATGCTAAAATTTTGTCTAAAATAGAATAGCTGAACTTTCCCCCTAATTACTTAATTATTTCTCCCACTGAAGTACAAAATAGTCTTGTGAACTGTATTTTAGTGTGACAGACAGCATAACCGAGCAGGGGTATTTTAATAAGGAATACAATTTTAAAGTCCTTTAGCAGTGATCACTGAACACTCAAAACTGGTATGAAAATCACTTATCTCAGACATTTCAGAGCATTTGGTTCAGAGTAGTTGCTCATTTCTCTCCTTATTCCCTGTTTGTCCAAGGATGCACTCTACATAATCCACACTCTCAAGATCTAGTATTTTATTACTTCCTTAATAGTATATGAAGAGTTTTTCTCTTAGATAAGATGTTGTATAAGGTTCTGAGAGAGAAATGCTCCTTTCTTTAAATCTGTAAGAGTAAATCAATGTGAAAGGACCACAACTATAAAGTTAGAAAAATATGTCCAAATACTAATTCAAAACAATTGATTTTTCTGACTCAGGCATTGCTGTCAGATTTACCTCCTGAATTAGAAGAGATGGATTTCAATCATGCCTCGCCGGAGCCTGATGATACCTCATTCAGTGTGTCTTCTTTATCAGAGAAAAATGCCTCAGACAGTTTGTGATTGGGGTGGGGGAGGGATATATGATACAGCCTTTTGGCTATCCAACAGGTATGCATTTCAAGATAGTTGCATTGTGCTGCCCCAAAATTCATTAGTTGGAAAAATATATTGCTGAAACAATGTATTCTGTGAAGGATGAATGAGATATAATGGCTGTGGTGCAAAATGGTACAGACGGTACAAAAAAAAAGTATGTAAAATTTAAAAGCATTGTTTGAGAGCTTTTTCCCAAACTGATGGAACTCTGGAGGAAAATGTACTTAAGTTTGAGCAGTTTAGCTATGAAATGCATAATGCCTAATTACTGAAAGTTCTTTTTTTGTTTGTTTGTTTTATAGGTGAATCTTAGTTTTAGTAATAGTTTCGACCAGAGACACAAAAAGATATTTCAACACAGCTTATCAAGTTACTGAAGCTTGACTAGTCGTGTTTTTGTAACCATTACATCTTTCTTCCTCTCTCCTTTTCCTGTCATCCAGATACACTTTTACTCAGGAAAGTAGACTGAAAATTGAAAATAAAAAACATTAAAAACTTTATAACCTAGATAAATCTTGGGATTCATTTTTAAACTCCTGTGAGAATTTGACATAAGTTAATGATTGAAAATTGAAGTGACTGCTAGTATATAATTGCAAAATATTGATATTCTTCTATAATTAACCCAAATATTTGGGAGGAGGAGGAAGAGCATTATGGAAAAGTAATTTAATCAACATGAAGTCAAATAAATTGCTAAGTGTATAGTAACAAATTGTTGTAAAAGATTCATCTTAATGGGAACTCTTTCTTGCTGCAAGTGACAAATATTAATAAGATTCACATTCTACTACTAAATTTGTATAACTAAGTTAGATGAAATGTTGCACAAGTATTATAAGTTTATCACCATCATCATAATATTTTTTTCAGTTCTTAGATTTTGTGAAACGGGAAGTCAAGGTAAGCCACTGAGTTTCCCTTTCTTTAATCTAGTCACTGAGCTTTGCCACTGAATTTACCTCATTTCCATATGAGGCTTGTACAGAGTTATCAGCCAAGGGTAATACCCAAAAGAATTATACCACTTTGGTTGTAAATCACAGTTCTCTGAATTTCCTGAATACTATTCTATGAGTACACTCCTAAAACGGGCATACTACCCAGTTGTTCTATTAGTAGGTACCAGATGGCGCCACACAATTTTTTGCAGACCTTCCCTTCCAGGGTACCAGACAGCATTACCAAGACCCATAGAAAGGAAAATGCCAGTTTCTCCCTGTGCACACAATATCACATATTTGTGAGTTGGCAGTGTGGAACTGTATCATATGGTTAAATTACTCTCTATACCTAAAAGATTAATGAAATAGCTAGATGGTGCTTTTGGCCATCAAGTTTCTACGTCAGATATTTTTGTAATTTGTAAGTAAAGCCAATTTTGATCTTGGAATTCACAGGTGCCAACTTATGAATACAGAAAGGCAGTCATGGATGTCTTTGACCTTGAAATACCCCTCCCCCACACACAAATAACTAAGGTTCATTAATAATCTTTCACCTTGTCAGCTATTTGTTTGATTTAGTATCGCTGCCATTCTACTATTATGGTTCTTTGTTAGCAGAAATATTTCAGTTGTTAGGTATGCTCCCTTTTAGCTGAGAGCCATATAGTTCTTTTTAAACAATGTTTAGTATACCTTGTTGACAAGTCAAATTCCATTCAGAGAAAAGAGGGCTGAATAATGGAACCTGGGATACTAAGTTTAAATTTATCAGTCACACTAATTCCCCTATGAGATACAAAGTTCCTACTATACACAGCAAACTTAGAAAGGTAACATGGTCTTAAGGTAACATGGACAAATTCAAGGCCTTCAAGTCTCTCTTAGGACTTTTTACTAGTTGTTGAGGTTATCTTTAGACTGAATTTTCCTGCTTCAATTTAAACCCCTTATTATTTAGTTCTTGCTATGAAGTAAAAAGAGGTGATTCTCTCATACATCTTTCAAGTCTGTGGATTAAACTTGTCACACCTCAGCAACTAGTCAATAAATAAAAAAAAAATTCATTGAACTCCTACAATAGGGACATTGGATTTCTACTCCTCAGCAAGCTGTAAACTTCAGAATAAATTGCTTATTTTCACTTTTTCAGGAATATAAATAAAAATTATGGAAGTTGAAATTTTGATAGATTCAAAGATTTTTGCTAGGTATGACTCCTGGAAGGAATCCTAATCTACAACTTTGAGAGGAAGTGTAGATGATTCCATTATCCCTGTTTAAAGTTATATTAAAAAAGCAACTGCATAAATCATAACAGTACACTTAGGAATCCTTTTGTATTGACATTTGTGCTTCAGCATTTTTTGTAGCAGGAACCAAAGGAAATATATTGTATCCAGAAAAACAACATTGGCAGGATGAAATTATATACCATAGATTTTTAAAAACATTCAAATGTTAAATATTAAAATCTATTATGAAGAAATGAATTTTCACACATATAGATTAGAATGTTTTGAGACAATTCAGAACAGGAAAATATCAGTTTATGGACTGCTTTGTGAACATCTTCATGACTGGGAGGAGAAAACAACTAGTGTTTCTTTCTTTAAGGCTTTGAAACCATAATGAACAACCTATCTGAAGCCATAGTATCTCTCACAAAGACAGAGGCCAAAAATGAAAAAAAAAAAAAACAACTTTCTTTTTTTCTGTTCACTACCCTTTGATGTATATTGTTGGGCTAGGTTTGTTGTTATTTAGTTAGTAAGTCATGTCTAACTCTTTTGTGACCCCATGTACTATAGACCACCAGGCTCCTCTGTCCATGGGATTTCCCAGACAATAATACTGGAGTGGGTTGCCATTTCTTTCTCCAGCAGATCTTTCTGACCCAGGAGATCTTTTCAAACCCATGTCTCCTGCCTTAGAAAGTTGGTTCTTTACCAATGAACCACCAGGGAAACCCTGGCTTAGGATAGCCAAGCAGTTTCTAAACAGGAAATGTGTAGCTAAGAGCACTTTTCAAAGTGTGTATTTTTAAAAAAGAAACTAAAGTAACCTTTCTCATTTCAACAAAGCTAAAATTAGTCCCAAGAAAATGAGAACTGCAGTTACCCTGGAGAATAGGAAAATTAGCACATGAAAGGAAATCATTGCAAGAAAATTGGCCTTTTCATGGAACTTAGGGATATTTTGTTGTAAGATCAGTTATCAACAGCAGGACTTTTGTACTACCATAAAAAATTTGTGATAGAAATGTTATTGTTGAGGAAGAAAATGTCACAGGCCAGTCACATCCTGTGCTCTATATATTACAAAGACCTCAAAAAATGTCGAACAGGTAATTTCTCCAGACAGTAATATCTATTTTAAGGCAGTTTCAGTCAGCAGTATGTAAGTTTGTATGAGAAAACATAAGTGGTATATTCAAAATAATTCTAGGCTCTAAAATTTACTTTGTTGCACCTTTTTAAGGAAGATGAAATAATCAGCCCTTTTCCAAGGAATACTTTCTTCATCTTGGCCCGATAGCTTATGATCATACTTAAGAATTCTGAAAATTCCTTCCTTCCTCTATATTGCAGTGATAGTATATAAGTATATATATAGTATATATATATATATATATATATATATATATATAATATATATATATAATATTTTTTAACAAATATTAGATTTTCATTCACATCCAAAAAATGCCAAATTCTGATAGATTAGCTTTTTAAGGGAGTTCTTAGTACCGTTATGTCTAAGTGGTTAATAAAAAGGTTTATTTTTGAAGCTGGTATTATCCTTGGCAGACAGCACTGTATCATGCTCTTCACCAAGCTATGAATTGGTGGTGTTAAAATGGAGGAGGCTACTAACTTGTGAGCCTACAGTCAACATACCATTGCCCCAAACAAACCTTTATTAAGGGCATATTTGCTGAGGGATAAAAGAGAATAAAGTGATATTTTCATGGAAATATATTGATTGCTCCATTAAAGTGTACTGAGTATATATTGTTTGACATTGAAATTTTATTTTGCATTAACTTGCTTATTTCTTTTAGTATTTTGTGTCCCATTTTACTGGCACTACCTCTGAAACCATATCATGTTAAAACCCTATCGGACAGTAATGTGAACTTTTTGTAGAGTTTTTATTTAAACTTTTATAGAGGCAATAAATGATTTCCAGCTAATAGAAACATCTCTTTCTTTCAATGTTTATTTTTCTACAGATAAATTTTTCCTCCCAAAGATAAAGTTCTGATAAAAAGACTAAAAAATGAAGAGAATAATAAGGTATTTGGAGGTAGAGAAAGGAGAACATGGATTGCTCAAATGGAAATTTGGATGATTCCCTAGCTGACATATGTATCATCCTTAATTGACTTCACATAACAGAGAATTACTCCAACACCAGTGAAATAGAGTGAATATTCAAAAATAGACAATAAATTTGTCCATGATATTATATTCAAGTGGTAAAGTCAGCAAGTAAAAAACCACAGTTTAAACAATGAATGCTATTTTTACAACATTCTTTTTAAATGGCAATGTTGCATTGAACTTCTAGCTCTCTTTGACACTGGTTGAATATGCTTTTAATTTGGATGAAATACACCCATACTTTTTTGGTTTAGTCTTATGCCAGTTAAAACTTTTCATGTTATCAAATGGGGGAGGGCAAGGGATGAGCTTCAAATAGCACATCTTCAGTTTTCTTTCCCAGCTGATACATTTTCAAGAATGCTTGAAGGCTCTTCAAATGACCCAAGTCTTTCTCATATCTGCAAAAACATTGGCTTAAGGTGGTGAAATCCTTTGATTTTATAGAAATGAATGGGAATGATTACAAATATATATATTTTTGTAATTTTTTTTCATTTATTTTTATTAGTTGGAGGCTAATTACTTTACAATATTGTAGTGGTTTCTGTCATACATTAGCATGAATCAGCCATGGATTTACATGTATTCCCCATCCCGATCCCCCCTCCCACCTCCCTCTCAAATATATTTAAAAAACAAGTCAATGGTTGAGTATGTCTATAAAGTTGAATGATGCTTTTCAAACACTTTGAGACTAGCTTTAATTTCTTGTTTATATCATATTATAAAGACAATACATGTTCATTGTAGACATTTTAGAAAATACAGATAAAAGAAAAACATAGCAAAAACTATCACAATATTGTAAAGCAATTATCCTCCAATTAAAATAAATTAATTTTTAAGAAAGAATACATGCAATTCCACCCCCTAATAATAATCATTCTTAACATATTAGTATATCTAGTTCCAATCATTTATTCTGCATATTACATATATCCAGCAATACTGGGATTATACTGATCGTACATTTACAAGTCCTGCTTTTTTTCTTGACAATTTATTGAAAGCATTTACCCAGGTGACCAGGGGATATTTTTTTAAATTTATACAAGAAAAAGCAAACCTAGTACTAATGAAAATGCATTTATTCTAGAAAATTAACAAGTACCTGCTTTACATAAATATTATATACTTTTTTACCTTACATTTATAACAAATGGTACTATTTCTTTACTTTCATGATAATAAAGTAGCTATATTTTGGATGCAAGTTACAAAGTACTTCTCCTTAATACTTCTACCTAAGTAATGTTTCTATCATCTATACTAGCAATCTATTCTAAACTTTAAAAATAAGATCATTTTAGGTATGAAAGGTCTCATATTGGGGACACCATTATGTACTTGGAGCAATAATTTTTTTGAAGTCAGATTGTAATTCCAATTATTCTCTCAAGAATAAGACTGTTTATTTTCATTATATTGTTCTGTTTCAACCAGTTTGGGAAATTTGGAAAATGCTACCAATTCTGGATCTTTTTGTGAAATAATCAATATTCATATCTCCATTTTATCATATAATATAATGTATACAAATACCAAGACCATCATAATCAAGTACTTACTCTTGTTAGCTTAAAGTGGATAGCTCACTGTTCTGAGACACAGGTCACAGGTTTGATCTCCATTCAGATGAGTCAGTTTATATAAAAGGGAAATCTCTCTGCTGTAGGACCACCATTTTCAAATCTTGTCTTGCAGTTCAATAGTAGTCACAGAGCAGAAGTCACCCAGGAGAAGATGTGGGTGGATATAGTCAACCATATATGTTGCTTAAACAGTATGAAATAATGGATATTGGGAAGTTTCTCCTGTCCATTCCCACCCACATCTCATGCCTCTGTTGAAAGTTAATTGGTAGTAATTTATTGGAAATAATTTGGTATAAAATGGAGTTATCCATGACAAGCGTCAGTTCAGTTCAGTTCAGTTCA